GGTTTAGGGGTTTGAGGGTTTAGGGTTTAGGATTTTGGGTTTAGGGTTTAGGGGCTTAGGGTTTTAGGGTTTAGGGTTTAGGATTTGATTGCTTGAACCTACCAAGACCTGTTGTTTTTCTTGGGTTCTTATCATAAACCCAGCTATAAAATTCTTAGGGACCCTGCAAAAACCCTAAACCGCAATAAGCCCCAACTCCGGGGGAGGGCTAGGCCCCAAACCCTGAAGAATTGAAGGCTATAGTAGTTTGGGGTTTAGGCTCCAGATGGGTTCAGGGTTTAGGGGGCTTGTCGTATCTCCTATATACACCCCTGTTCAAGCTATAGACGCTCCTATACCATGCGTACAGGGTCAGACCGATCTAGTCTGCTGGGGGTGTGGAATCCCCGTGCCCTTAATCCCTAAATTCGACCTCCTGGAAAGAAAGCTTTCGCGCGCCCGAATAAAAACCCTAAGCAGCCCCAAAACTAATCTTTAAGCTCTACTAGGTCCGAAAACCCTTGGCCTTTACCGAATTCTCTAAACGATCCTAAACGTCCTGATGCCTAAACCCTGTTGAGTCATAACTCCTAACCCCAAACCAGGAAACCCTTACATAATTCCTAGACCACATCAGCTCCACTTACCTTTTTAGGGTCCCTGAATGTAATTTCGATTTATGCGTCCTTGGAACTCTAGGTTTTCGAGGTAATTAGCTTTAGGGTTTAGGGCTTAGGGTTTAGGGTTTAGGGTTTAGGGTTTAGGGTTTAGGCAGCTGCGAAATCTCCCAGACGCGCCGGCTGGCCTTGTAAACGAAGCTGGGTTCTATAGCCACGGTTGGGGTAGGGTTTATGATTCAGGGTTTGGGGTTCAGGGTTTCGGGTTAAGGATTTCCTAAACCCTCAACCCTCAACCCTAATTAACCCTAAACCCTCATTGAGTGTGGCTCGCAAGCTTCGGGAGGGTCAGCTTACAGACTTTCCGGGCTTTGCGGCGAGTTAATAAACGCGCAGAAAACAGTTACAACTACTATTTGGGGTTCCTTATTATAGTTATTATAGTTATAGTATCACCTCAAAGCCCTGTTCTAATAATTAAGGTTACTACGGGGTTCTTCCAGGTCTCGTTGCTGTGCATGGTTCAGGGATCGGGCTTTTATGGTTTAGGGTCGGGGGGCTGGGCTTTAGACTTGGAGGCACAAGATTCAGGATCGTTTTGGATCAGTGGCATGTTGTGGCTGCAGGGGTTTGAATCAGATGATTCCCTTAACTTGGCTTCAAACCCTATTCTAGCTAGTGCGTCCCTATAGCAAGGCAGCCTAGACCCTAACCCTAACCCTTCCTGATTTGCTTTATTGTCGTATGCCCTCGTAGGAACCCTCATAGAGACTTTAAAGAGAAGTATATACCCCAATGCCCAAATTTAACTACTAAACACCCCTATAAACCCAAACCCCAATGCCCAAATTTAAACATAAACCTTTACATAACACCTAAACATCGACACTCCTAAACACGCCTAAACCCTGAACCCTGAGACGCGCGCAAGTGGCCATCCGTCCGTGCTGAGCATTATGGCCAGGCATCGTCAGAGCGCACGATGCGGGCAGAATTTCAGAATTCGAGCGAGAACCTCCTCTACTCCTAGGGGCCTTAATGATGATCAACATCATGGTTTTGGTAGTCTCTAGCGCAGTATATTTGGACTTTAACTTGTGAACTAATTATTCACTAATTACTCAGAGTCTATGTTGAAGAATGGTTAAGCAAGAACACGCTTCCCTTTAAAGCCTTTGTGGAATTCTTGCAACACCGTATAAAGACGATCCGGCAAGCGCTCGCCAAGCGAGCGGGTTTCTCGCGATCACGATTTCACTTCAGATCAGCTACCAGGGTTCCAGACAGGTTTCGCAGAATTTTCTCAGATGGGCTTTTTGTTTGGGGGTGCAGAGTCTGTGTAGGACCGTAATTCTTCGGCTTAGGCAGTCGCTTAGCCTAAACCTTAAACTCCAAACTCCCTGAACCCTAAACCCTAAACCTTAAGCTCTAAACCATAAAGTCCAAACTCCCAAAACCCTAAAATCTAAACCCTAACCCAACCTGGCCCAGACCAGTGAAATCGCATCGACCTTTCTGCAGAGCAGCTGCAGAGACTTGTCCCGAAGGGTGCCGGAGCTAAGTCATGTACTTGTGTGCTTGTTCGTTCATTCATGTTTCATGTATTCATCTCATTTGTCAATATGTATTCATTCGTTATATACAAGGTATGTTGCAATATATATATATATATATACACATTCACACATACGGTGTATTATATGTAGGCATGTAGGTTTAGGGATTAGGGACAAGGGTTGCCTCATCCGCTGCGTATATCCAACTTACACCAACTTACCACATCTTAGACAAAGAACTCATGAAAGCTCCAGTTCCGCAACCCGAATGCAAAGTCTGAAAAAGGACAAGACCGGACCCGGCGGGTGTTAGTGCCCTAGCCACTCAATGCTGCAACGTCTACCTCGCCAAGCGAGAACTCACAGCGATGCAGGTTCTTCAAAGATGCATATAAACGGCTTATGTTCTATTTTAAACTCGCAACGGGTGCTTGAGGGGTATAAGGTCAGACTCAAACTTCCTCTTAGACTAGAGGGAAATCCCATACTACTTCAAAGTCGGAAGGCTTCATCGAGCGATTCAACCGTCTGTCTTTGCCCGATTGTTCGTACAGGCAACGCTCGGATACCAAACTCAAGATCCCGAATTTCCACAGACCCCACAACCCCTTGACAGTGGTTTAGGGTTCAGGGGTTTAGGGTTTAGGGTTTAACACAAGGAACGTACCTGACAGTCGTATTAGGAATCCCCGCAGATTGTTTGGCCTATTCCTCAGTTCCAGGGTTGTTGGAGTCACTGAGTATCTTTAAAGTCCTACGTAACCCTGAAGCCCCCCAAAACTAAAGCAAACAAAAGCATTCTTCTCAGAACCCTGAAGCCCTTACACATAGGATCCCCGCCCCTGCTCAACTCTCAGGGCTGGATCCTAAGAGTTCAAGAGTTTTTTTCAGATAGAGAGAGCCCAAACCTTCCCAGAGACTCCCCTAAACCCTGAGGCCCCTCATGGGTAGTTTTCAATATTTGGATCTGTTTTGGGGTTCTTTTTATCAGGGTGCCGTACTATATTTGGGACCTAAGAAGGAACCCTAACTTAGAGAACGACCCCAAACCCTAAACCCTAAACCTTAAACCATTCCCAGAGATTCCAAAATCGCTTGAATGAAGAGAGACTGAGGGGCTGAGGAGGTAACCTTCAACTTTTGGGGGATTCTATAATTAGGGTTTAGGGTTTAGGAATTAGGGATTAGGCTTTATAACTTCTTGGGGATTATAGAATCCTTCTATGATTCGAAGGGTTAACCGTTTTTGGGGCTAGGGTGCTCGGTCCCTAAGACTAAGTCCCTAAAGCTAATGGTCCAATACCCAACTGCCAAATGGCTGAAGTAATATTATAGTGCACACGTTTTTTGGCTCAAAGGTCTACAGTTTAGGGTTTAGGGTTTAGGGTTTAGGGTTTAGGTCTACCAAGCACCTACTATACATCGATACTTGGCGCCTGTGGGACTTCGAAGCTGGGATATGCTATTGTGGGAAGAGAAGGGAAAATCCTAGTCTGAAAGCTTGAGCTGTATGTCAAGCCCAAAACCTGACCTCTTACCCCCTGAACCCTACACCCGGAGACCAGGAAACCAAAGCCCCTCAACCTGTGCAACATCATCATGCGCAGACTCCTTGTTTGGTCTTGGCTCTAAATTGAAGCCTGTCGCAGTGACATCGTTGCAGCCGAATCAGACCGAACAGCAGCGCCACATGCCTAGAAAAGCTCGTCAGTAGAATCAGGTAGTGTCCAGGATTTCATGATGACTATCCAGACACCTGGAAGGAGCCAGAAAGTAGATACATGTAATATAGAGGCCTTAATCATGAGAATAGGGGTTTAGGGTTTGGGTTTAGGGTTTAGGGTTTAGGGTTTAGGGTTTAGGGTTTAGGGTTTAGGGTTTAGGGTTTAGGGTCTATTATGCTATCATTCAATAAGGAACCGCCAAAACCGTATTCTAATTATTCAGGCCCCTTATACCACTCAAGGGTACTTTGATCTATGCTTTTGGATCCTCCCATGGGCCCATGGGTCTGGATACTGTGATCGCTTCAGTGGTTTAGGGTCTAGGGATTTGGGGTTAGGGGTTTAGGGTTTAGGGTTTAGGGTTTTAGGGTTAGGGGTTTGGGGTTAGGGGTTTGGGGTTTATTGGTGTAGTAAGGGTTTAGGGTTTAGGGGTTTAGGTTTTAGGGTTTTAGGTTTAGTAAGGGTCTAGGGTTTAGGGGTTTAGGTTTTAGGGGTTTAGGGGTTTAGGGTTTACGGTGTAGGGTTTTGGGGTTTAGGATTGAGGGTTTTAGGGTTCAGGGGTTCAGGGGTTGAGAGGTTTAGGGGTTTAGGGGTTAGGGGTTTAGGGGTTTAGGCGTTTAGGGTTAGGGGTTTAGGGTTTAGGGTTTGTTGGTTTAGAAAGGGTTTAGGGTTTAGGGGTTTAGGGTTGTGATTTGGAAGGCTCGGTTTGGGGTACTGGGATATTAGTTCATCAAGGAGCTTCCAGCACCCTAGCCCAAAAGAGGGTAATCTTTTAAAAAATACAGTAGGGTTCAACACCCCACAAGGCTGAACTTTACCTATCCAGCCCCGAAGAGGACGGGTTTCGCAGATAGAAACCGAAGTTGTAGGACCCGAAGTCCTAAACCTTAAAGACGCTTTGGGATTAATACCTATTGCCTACACAGGAAACTCCAATCCAAACCTGAATATACATCACCCTACATCCTGAACTTACCTAAACCCTGAACGACGGCCATAAGCGTCAAAACCCTAAACCCTAAACCCTAAACCCCCAAACCCTAAACCCCAAACCCTCAAACCTAAACCCTAAACCCTAAACCCTTGATCTTCAGCAGCTTTGGCCCTGCACCCTAGTCCCGAGCCTCCTTGGCGACACGAAGAGCAGCCTTCGGATTCCTCCAGAGCGGCGGAATTCCAAAGGCTCCGTTACTATAGGGGCGTTTATGGTTAGAATAGGGTTCCTTTGAAGGGGCCCCATAGTATTTCTTTTTTGGGGTTCATATGTAGAATCCTATAAGGTAATCCCAAAAAGGAACTACTGTATGGTGCTTAGTAGGGAATGGGGCAATGGATCCCTATGGTAGTCCCTTAAGGTCCCTTATGGTAGTCCCTATAACCCATTCCCTACTAAGCACCAAACAGTATAGGGGGCCCTTGGGGTTAGAATAGGCTTCCTTTGATGGGTTCCGTTGAAGGGCTACTATAAAGGTCTAGGGGCGTTTATGGTTAGAATAGGGTTCCTTTGAAGGGTTCCTTTGAAGGGCTACTTTAAGGGTCTAGGGCCCTTCTGGTTAGAATAGGGTTCCTTTGAAGGGTTCCTTTGAAGGGCTACTATAAGGGTCTAGGGGCATTGATAGTTTGAATAGCATTTGGGGGGGGGTACATTATTTTATTTATGTATGATAAAGGGCCTCCAAAATAGTATTGGTCATTATTTTCGGACCTGCATTGAAGTCTGTAGTGTTGAGGGTTTAAGGCTTAAGTTTGAAGTTTAGGGTTTGGGCTCAGGGTATTAGGGTGGCCTAGGATGGTTTAGCGACGGTTAAGTCTACTAAATGGCTCCTGCTGTTACTACTGCTGCAAAGCTGTTAATGCTGGTAGTCCCACGGCCAGTGCTGCTTGAACGAGGAGGAGCACAAAGACAACGACAACTGCGGTAACGAGTACAACCGCGACGACAAGGACAAGGACAAGGACAAGGACGACGAATATAGGGGCCTAAAATGAAATACAACTACTTCTTTTTGGGGGCTCCTTATTACAAGTATAGTCTAAGGGCCCAAAAAACACCGATTCAAATCATTAAGACCCCTACATTACCAACATTGCGTGTCCCGTGCTGCTCGGATGTTCATATTATGACCCTAAACCCTAAACTTGAACCCTAAACCCTAAACCCTGAACCCCTAAGCCCTAAACCCTGAACCCTAAACCCCTCCCTAAACCCTAAACCCCTAAACAGGGCGGAGAACCTAAAGGCTCAAAATCCGGCAAGCCTAGTCACCCCCTTGTTTCAGAACTCTACCTTAAAGTTATAAGGTCCTGAATATCAACTTAGGGTTTAGGGTTCAGGGTTTTGGGGTTTAGGGTTTTGGCTACCTTATAGGGCTCTTAGTATTAACCATATCCTTAAATAACGGTGTATCCTTAAAATCACCCTTAAAAACCTCAAGGAAGATATTCATTCAGAGGTCTTGGCTCCCTAGGCTAGGCTCTGCACATCCCGTCAACTCACAAGGTACACCGCTCTCCTCTGCCGGAAGAGCAGCGCGTCGATGAGGTTCTGCTGTAAGCGAGCCGTCTCCTCTCATCTTCAGGGTTTTGCTTAACCCTAAACCCTAAACCCTAAACCCTAAACCCTAAACCCAATCTTCGGGGTTTTAAGCTTCGGACCAGGTAATCGCTTATGGAGCCTTCAGGGCTAGCAGGATTTTGGGGGTCCACTATTTTAGCAGGTGGGGCTTTAGGATCCACTGGTTTAGGGCTTTAGGGCTTTAGCGCTTTGGGGTGTAAGGGCTGCGTTGGGTCTCGAAACTCTCCACTCGAACCCGTACCCTCAAAGTCGCTCTATTAAGCAACATACCTTAAACTACAGTAGACCCCTCCTATGATATAAAGTGTATTCCCAAACTAAGAGATTTAGGAAGGTCTGGGAAGCCATCATCACTGCGAGCTGTTGAGGCATGATCCATGGCTACTTTGTCATCCAACAGAAACCTTAACCCCTAGGACAGAGCTGCACCCGTATATGCAGCCCTAAACCAAAGCCGTACTTGTAGAACATTCCATAGAACTCTCTTACTCAAGACCCGCATAGGAACCCTTGGCAGCCCCTAGGTCTAGGGTGGTAGGGTACCTTATTTAGGATCCAAATATGCCCTCTGAACGACAACCTATACCCGAACAACTGTCGTTCATTTCAACGTGTACTGCCGAACAGAAGTCCTAGAACGTAACCGTCAATCCTAGTCTGGCTATTGAATGAGGTCTCTGTACTACTCTGCAGCCCCAAGAGACACTAAACCACATCTCCGTTACAACAAGCCCTTACAAACTCGAGGGCCAATCCAAGCCTTTCTTGTACCGATCCATATACTAAGGTTTAAGGTGTAGGGTTTGGGGTTTGGGTTCTCAGGGTTTTCAGTTTTTGCAGCGCTAATCTTTAACGATTCAGGCCCCTGCACCCTGAAGCTACACCCAAATTGTTCAGGGGTTTAGGGTTTAGGGTTACACCCAAATTATTCAGTTAGGATGGTTAAACGTTTGGGTATAGTATGCTTTAATAACAATAATCATAACAATAATAAGAAGAAAGGGCCCCAAAATAGTATAGGTAATTAAGGCCCCTGTATTAGGCGTTTAGGGCCTGGGGCAGGGCTGAGGGTCCCTAAGACCTAGAATCTCCCTAAACCCTAAACCCTAAACCCTAAACCCTAGAATCTCCTGCATGTCGCCAGCAGCCTGGGCCAAGCCAATCGTCTTGTCCTTAGATCAGCCATCAGGTTTCTGACATTTGGGTTTAGGGTTTAGGGTTTAGGGTTTAGGGTCTAGGGTTTAGGGTTTAGGGTTTAGGGCAAGCTGTGAAACCAGAAATCCGACATTCCAATGTTCGAGTGTGCTGAATATAATCTGGCGTCACGGTCAAAGGCTTAATGGCTTAATGGATGAGTCTTGGGAGTTTGGCGTTCGGCACATGTAACATTCAACCCCATAGCAGTTTTAATGATGTTCCTGCACCACCTGCAGTGAGATTGCTTGTACCTTGTCGGGCCGTGCAATGCCCCATTTTTTTCACCGGTACTAAACTGAGCGGCTCACGGGACGAAATCAGCAGTTTATAAGTTATTCTCATACCCCTCAGGTAGTCGGTAGGGTTTAGGATTTCGGCTATTTCGGCTCAGGGAAATAGTAGGGCCATCTTACCAGAACCCTATACTTCTCGCCTACTTCCTTAGTCAGTCCCTGCCCCTTTAAGCCAAAGCGGAGCTTCAAACATGCGGTTCTGTGGGATTCAGAAGACCCTAAAGCAGAGACATAAGCTGTGCAACGGGGTACTGGCATGAGCCCAGTAAGCCAAGCCCTACGTAATGCCCCAACATGCATTGCCAGGTTTCTGGCCAGGGTTTAGGATAGGGGTTTAGGACGGTTCAGGGTTTAGGGTAGTAAGTGGTCCTGCGCACGCCCATGAAAGCTACTGGACGGTTCAAGCTGTGCAGCATCTGAAGGCCGCACAGAGTGCTTGCGGCTGGAGCTCCACCACGCCGAGGCAAATGGCCACGCCGAGTTCAAAAAGCTGCTCGCGAAGGTCGGGGCGGCGAAGCACTGCTTCCCTGCCGGCGTGGCCATTTGCGGCATCGTGGAGCGCCGTCTACCACGCGGCACGCAGAGGCAGCACGGAGTGCTTTCTCCTCATGGGTGCCGGTTTAGAGAAGGACGCACAGAACAACGTCCGGTCTGTCTTGCTCTATAAGCCGTCGTCCATGAGGAGCCGCAGGAATGTAACAGTGGCGACCCAGTGCTCGTTTTGGCGGCATACAGTAGTTGCTCGGATTCATCCTTGATGTATGATATGCGCTCCGAAGTCAGCAGGTGCTGTTGCTGATAGGCTAATTAGACTTGGCTAAACAAGGCCTACTGTAGTTTTGTCGGTGTCAACCTGAGAATCTGGATTTGCTGGACTGACCCTGACGTAGTTGAGCAGAACCCACTTGACAGACCACACTGTAGATGTGTGCCGCCTGTGGCGAGCATGACTGACATGGTGCAGGCAGGGATTTGGCTGATACAGATGTGCAGAGTGGGCACGCCGGTGATCCTCATTTCAGGCTCCGGGGGCAGTGACGGTGGTGATGCAGCCATCATGCCGACTACGGCATGGCCATCGCTAGCTCCGCGGGTGGGTGCATGTCTCCAAGTCGCAGGAATTTCAGCAGCTTCTGAAACAAACCAATTCAAATGCTTCCAGAAATGCGTATTGCCCTGTGCGGCTTCTGAAGCACTTCTTACTCAGTATACTTTTTTCCTCAAAACTTCTAAAGTGGCAACATGGGCGGAGCGCTAGTCAAACATTCCTAATGGCTCGGTTTGGCGGTTTGTTGTTGACAACTGTGCTTGCTAACTTTTGCAATTTTGCCGGAGCGCAAGCAATCAACACCGCAAACCCTAAGCCCCGTCCGCTGGGACAAAGACTTGAAGGGCCCCGCCAGAATCCGGAAGGGTGGGCGGTGCGCTCTTCAGCCAGCGAGCCAGGCTCAAATTCATGTCAACCGTTCCAGTGAAACTTAAAACCCGAAGCCCCTAATTTAGGGTTTAGGGTTTAGGGTTTAGGGTTTAGGGTTTAGGGTACTAATCCCAAAGCTCAACACCCATATAACTCATAAACCCCCAAACCTTTCAACCCCTAAACCCCTCGACCCTATAAACCACGCTACCACCTCCCCTAAACCCTAAACCCTAAACCCTAAACCCTAAACCCTAAACCCTAAACCCTAAACCCTAAACCCTATAGGTAGAAGGCGAGCAGCCAAGGTTTCCACGGCCTCGTTGATGTCCTCGCAGCAGGACTTCGATTGCCAGTTCACTGGTCTACTGTAGTTCAGGGTCGAGGGCTTTTAGGGTT